CCCAGTGATTGGCCCAAAGACACCCGGCTGGGTTTCATGCCTAAAGTGGGACTAGAATTCCCGGTCTCCCAGTGATTGGCCCAAAGACACCCGGCTGGGTTTCATGCCTAAAGTGGGACTAGAATTCCCAGTCTCCCAGGGATTGGCCCAAAGACACATGGCTGGCTTTCATGCCTAAAATGGGACTAGAACTCCCAGTGATTGGCCCAAAGACACCCGGCTGGGTTTCATGCCTAAAGTGGGACTAGAATTCCCAGTCTCCCAGTGATTGGCCCAAAGTCACCTGGCTGGCTTTCATGCCTAAAGTGGGACTGGAACTCCCAGTCTCCTGGTACTTCATCACTGGAGGTTTTAAAGAGAAGACAGAACAGCCCCTTGTCTGAAACTGTCTAGGGCCAGGCTCTGGAGCCGCATGTGGCTCTTTCATCCCTCTGCTGCGGCTCCACAATTGACAGGGCTTTCGGTTAGGGCAGGTAAAGGAAAAACGACGCCATGCTAGGAGACGACTCTATGGTGGGGGAACCGGACTTCCGGTTGTCTCCAGAATTGAACCGCGGCGGGGGGGGAGGGGGGCTTCCAGTTAGGATCTTTGTGGCTCTTTTGAGTGTTGAAGGTTGCTGACCCCTGGTCTAGGGTCTCCTGCCTGAGCAGGGGGTTAGGCTAGAAGACCTCCAAGGTCCCTTCCAACTCTGCTATTCCTTTTTGTCATTCTGTTAAGTCCCCAGGAGACTTTGGTAGATTTCAGGAAGATTACTGATACAATAGTTTGTGTATGTGTGTGTGTGTGTGTGTGTGTGTGTGTGTGTGTGTGTGTGTGTGTGTGAAAACGGCTTGCAGATTTCTTTATCCAGGCAGTCCTGAATTTACCTCCAACCCCTTTAGTGACCACTTTACATGTTACAATAGCACTGAAAAAAAGTCACCACGATTTTTCACACTTACGACCGTTTAGTCATGTAAACTAAATTTAGTTGCTTGGCAACCGACTCGCATTTACGACAGTCACAATCCCTTTTTTGCAACCTTCGGATGAGCGAAGCCCACGGAGATGCCCGATTCACTTAACAGCTGCCGTGGTTCGTTTAGCAACTTGTCACGGGAAAGGTCGTAAAACGGGACCAAACTCAGCTTAGCTAGGGGCAGTCCTCAACTTACAACCGCAATTGAGCCCAAAATTTATGTCGCTAAGGGAGACATTGGTTAAGTGAGTTATGCCCCATCTTACGACCTTCCTTGCTATGGTCGCTAAGCAAATCACTGTTGTTAAATGAGTCACCCAGTTATTTCACTGTTGACTTTGCCTCTTAAAAGTTTGCAAAGGGGAATCTACTGATGGAACCATCATGTTAATTGTCAAATGCCTGAATTGTGATCTGCAGCGGTCATAAGCGTGTAACATGGCCACAAGACCCTTTTGGTCAATGCCACTGTAACTTTGGTCACTAAACGAACTGTTGTAAGTCGAGGACTACCTGCACTGCCTTGTTTAGCAATGGAAGCTTTGGTCTCCAATGTGGTCATTAAGTCGAGGACTTCCGTGTTTCCCCGAAAATACGGCATGTCCTGATAATAAGGCCATGCCACATTTTTCGGCCTTCGGGATACCGCTAGGTCGGTAAGCGGTACTGGCCAAAGTGGAGAGGGGGGTTGCCGGGCGGTAGCTCTCTTGTGTGGGCTCCCGAAGAACCAGGCACAGCCTCAGGGTCGAATGGCTGTGTTGTGCTTTCGCAGCAGGCGAGCAGCCACCCGGCAAAACCCCTTTCCAGTCGGGCACAGCGCCATTCGCTGACCTAGGGGTATCGCCAAGCCGCGTGAGCAGCTATTCGCCGTCCTCCGGCTCCCGCGGCTTGGCTCCTTCGGAATGCCCCTAGGTCAGTGAATGGGGCTCTGCATGGCTGGAGAGGGGGGGTTGCGCGAGCGGCTTTTCTGCTCCTCGCTCGCGCACCTCCCAGCCTCCCGATGCCGTAGCCTAACTCTCCCTGCAGAGCCAGGGCAGCTCCACCCCCGCCGCCTGGATTTTTCTGCGGCTTCCAAAGCACGGAGGTAGGATGCCGAGTCTTCCGGAAGTTGTCACTCTGGGAATACGCTCTATGGTTGTACGCTCTGGGAGTAAGCTCCACCGGCAGCCAGCCCACAACCATAGAGAGTACTCCCAGAGCGGCCACTGCTGAAAGACTCGGCTGCAGATCTCCAGAGTTTGGAAGCCAGAGAATAGGTTATGTTCGGAGCGCTGCAGCGGCGCCTTGGCCCTGCGGGGAGAGCTGGGTCAGGGCAGGGTGAGGCTGGGAGGCACACGAGAGGGGGACAGAACAGGCGCTCGCGCAACCTCCCTTTCCAGTCGGGCAGAGCGCCATGCACTGACCTGAGGGTATCCTGAATGTGCCAAGCCGTGGGATCTGGGGGGAGAGCAGAGCACCACGCGGCTTAGCGCCTTTGGGATATCACTGGGTCGATGAGTGGTGCTCTGCCCGGCTGGAAAGGGGGGGGCTGCCAGGTGGCTGCTCGTGAGCGTGGCCACCTCATGGCTGGTGCGACAGTTCAACACAACCATTTGCCCTTGAGGCTGTGCCTGGCTCTTTGGGCGTCCGCTCGCAAGAGGGCAGCCACCCGGCAACCCCAAAAACATGGTACCTGTGTTAATTTTTTGCTGTTAGAATTTGCAGCAAATCTCTAGTTGTCCACCAGATGGCACCAAATAACTTTAAAAAAAAAACAATCCCGCTTGCTGCCACCCAGTGGTCATGTGGAGACGAACAACCTCAAACTGATAGCTCAATTTATATGGTCGTGATGGCAAACCTATGGCACGAATGCCACAGGTGGCACACAGAGCCCGCTCTGCGGGCACGCAAGCCATCACCCCAACTCAGCGCCACTGCGCATGTGTGCACACCTCCCGCCAGCCAGCTGGTTTTCGGGTCTCTGTGCCATGCATGCGCGGGGTGGATGTGTTTGCGTGCACGGGGGACTGCATGCGCATGTGTGGGGGGAGGGGCATGCACAGGGGAGTATGGGGGGGCTGTGTGACCCCCCACAGTGCATTTTTGGTCCCAGGAGGCTGTAGGGAGGTGGGGGGGTATCACACGCGCATGCGCAAGGGGGGGAGGTACGGGGAGGTGTCGCACACGCATTGCATTATGGGTGCGGCCATGCGCTCTCACGCACGCTCTCGCGGGCTTTCGGCACGTGATAACAGAGCCAAGGTGGCGCAGTGGTTAAATGCAGCACTGCAGGCCACTTCAGCTGACTGCAGTTCTGCAGCTCGGCTGTTCAAATC